GTTCTTCTTCCTCTTCTAAGTCCACCATCTCTTCCTCACCCTCTCGCTACCTGACTTCTCAGTATCTGCAGAGTACGAGAGAGAGAGAGAGATTTGTGACTGTGGGACTTGACGACATTTGGATCCAGAGTCGACATTGGGATTCAGACATTTGACGAGGGATTAGTTGGGACTTGTACCGAAGACTTGGTGTTCGCAACATTCCCATCTCTCGTCTTCTCCTTCATTTGACCCCCCTCCTCTTCGTGTGTGTATGGTTTGGACCTGGCGCACTCTTCTGTGTATAGCACCTTGCCCCTCACGCCTTGCAACGATGATTATGTACGTTGGGTCTGTATTGCGACACTGAGTGGGTTGATCATTGGTATCTTAGCATTCTGCTGCACTATCTTATACTATGTGAGGGAGGTCGGTCGGTGCACTGTTTTGCACCATTACGGTATTCCAGAGTTTGGTATCTCCTCCTCTTCTCACATGTGTGAAGTATCATGAGATGTCATGTCAGTCCTAGTCAAGTGAGGACTCATATCCAAGTCTCCCACAACGCTACAAAGTACCATTTTGTGTGCATCAGGATGAACGTTGCTTGTTGAGATGTCATTAACACTGCAATGTCCATTTACTCCTTTTCATCACTTTGCGGATCCTTGGCTCCCATTACATCGCCCAACTGGGCATGTAACAGGAAGGGAGAGATGGCTCCCATTACGTCGAAAATAGCCTGACTCAGCGTCCCACCATCCCACAGTTCCAAGTGGGCAACTGCAGGAATGAGTGTCATGTCATGCCCGGGTCTTTGTAAAATACAGTCAGAAATATGAGGATGTATATATATATATATATATATATATATATATATATATATATATATCGTCACAAATTCATCTGAGCGCAAATGCGAAAACCCTGATATGAATTCATGTTTGATCTTCTTCCTTACAAGACTCCCCCTGTTCAGAACCTCTTGCGTACAAGGCCACCCACGTGGATGTAGGTTAAGAGGTAAAGAAAAGAGGAAGTGAACAGCCAAACATTACAGAACAGGGGGCAATCGGATCCTAGATGACGAGTCCCACATGCAAACACCGCCCCCGACAGCACAGGGCAAACCTGTGTCGTCCCCGTACGTCGTACGGGGGATACCCATACGAACCGTACGGACGGACGGACATACGCTCGTACGGGCGTACGGATGTCTCCCGTACGAGCGTGCTACGGCCCAAAGGGGGGGTGCTAGGGGGGGTTTAAGGGCATGGGGTGTTGGGGGGGGTTGCTGGGGGCACAGGAGTGTTGTTGAAAAAATTAAAAAAAAAAATTATTTTGGTGAAAAATGAGAAAAAAAAAAAGGACTGCCCGAGTCCCCGCGGGCCTCAGCCTGGCAGGCAGTGGCGCATGGCAGGGCTGTTTCGAAGGGCAGGCCGAAGCAGCCCTGCCCCGCGCCACTGCCTGCCAGGCTGACCCCCGCGGGGACGCGGGCAGTCCTTTTTTTTTTCTCATTTTTCACCAAAAAAAAAAAGGGACTTCGTGTGGACTGGGCGGGCCTTGTGGCCGTCGTGCGCTTATATATGAGGTTGTTGGCGTCAACACCAACACTTTTTGTTGTAGCCCACATTTGTGTTGTCACCCACGCGAGAGTGGTGTTGGAGGCTGTTCACGGCAACGCACAGAGAGAGAGAGAGAGAGAGAGAGAGAGAGAGAGAGAGAGAGAGAGAGAGAGAGAGAGAGAGA